TCTTGGATTAAGCACGCACAGATAATGTTTTGTTCAAAGGCAACTTTAATCGCCACAACACAACAGCAAGAGCAGCGTCAGTATCGGCACCCATCCACAACGAGATTCCCTTTCCCATTCCCATGCCCACCATCTACAGCATCTGCTGTGCTGTTGTTTACGTTTTCAAGATTGTGCCAACGTTTTCAATTTTGTTTTTTTCTGTGTGTGTCCAGACAATTTGTGTCCAAGGAGGAGAGCGATATTGAGCACTTGGAGCAGCGGCTGGAGAAAATCATCAAGCTGTGCAATGTGGCCGTCGACTCGGGCAAGGAGTATGTCAAGAACCAGAGGTAAATGCGCATATAAAATCCGTCTCATGTATATTCATTGATATCGATTCAACTACTCCTCTCTCCTGCCGCGTCAACAGCGCCTTTGCCATGTCCTTGTGGGATCTGCAGCAGCATTTTCTCGACAACAAAAACGCCCACAATGCGCTGGGAAAGTTGATTCATTGTTTCCAGGTGGGTCCAAGCAGGTTGTCCTTACAAACAAAGGCTCGCCAAATCTAAACATTTATATTTTGGACTGTTGACAGGAAATGAACAAGTTTCATACGATTTTGTTGGATCAGGCCAGTCGCACTGTGCTCAAAAATCTCACTGTATTCGTAAAGGACGACATCAATCAGGTGAAGGACTACAAGGGACACTTTCTCAAGGTGTCCGAGGGCTATGACAATGCATTGATAAAGAACGCACAGGTTCGTTTCAAATCTATTTCACATTATTATATTTTAATATCTCTCTGTTTTGTGTGCAGGCCAGTAAAAATCGCCCGCAGGAAGTTCAAGAGGCAGCTAATATCCTATCCGCCTCAAAGTCCTGCTTCCAGCATACCGCCTTGGATTATGTCAACTACATAACACTCGCGCAGTCTCGCAAAGTCCCATCCATACTGTCCACGGTGAGTAAAGAGCTCCACGAAGATTGCCAGCCTAAGCATTTCTTATCTTTCATGAATGAAAGGGGTCTCTGGCTCTTCTACATAAAAGTAAATAAATCCATAGCGCAAGGGGGGGTTTTGTTATTGGCATGACGTCACTATTGTTGTGTGATATATAGATAAGTACATATGTACTGTACTGTACGGATTGCTGTTTTTTTTTGCCTGTATTGCATATCTATAAGCAATGATCAACAGCCGTTGAGTCAGTGCAGGCGTTGAGTGTGTGCCATGGCACTTACAGTTGTCTATCGGGTGTGCTTGCTGCTGGATCGACGTGGACTCTCCTCACTCTTTATGCAGTACAAATATTGCCGTTTCTTTGTATTTGTCACGTTTTTCATGCTGATCTTCTCTTGTCTTTTGCATGTTTTTCGGGTGTTCGGGTCGACAGCTGCTGGACTACTATCAGGCGTGCGTGACCTACTACCATCAGGGCTTTGACTTGTGCAACGATTTCGACGAGTTCTTCAAGAACATCAGCGAGGATTTGAATGCCCTGCGTGGCGATTACCAGCAGCTGGAGAAGGTCATGCAGAATCGACACATGAGCGTGAATCGCTATTGCGATTCGAACACGAATAGTGCCTCGAACAAAATCGAGGGATATTTGTTTAAGAAAAAGTCAAAGGGCTTCAAGACCTGGTGCAGGCGTTGGTTCTACCTGAGCGACAACCAGTTGGTCTACAGGTGGGTTCATGGCTCTCCATTTATCATTTCAAACATCCCCCCGCAAACCCCAACCCCAACACGAACACACTCTCCCACCATTTGCTTGCTTAGTTAATCGTCTACTTTTATTTGCAAACTTTTGATTTTTGTGATGTTTAATTGTGTTGTGATGTGATGGTGATGTGTTGTGCTGAACGCTGAAGTGATTTGGATTCGCATTGCAGAAAACGCAGCAACGAGGACTCGTTTTCGGTCATGGAGGAGGATCTGCGCATCTGCAGTGTGCGGCCGGTCAACGAGGGCGATCGCCGCTTCTGTTTCGAAGTCATTTCGCCAACCAAGTGAGTACCTGAGTCGCTGCCAGCCACAGATGGCAGGTTCTAATCGTTTGTCACACCCATTTAGATCTCACATTCTCCAGGCTGACTCAGCCGATATGCTGTCCCTGTGGATTTCCGCACTGCAGCACAGTATTGGGGCCGCTATTCAGCATGACGCCACGCACAACTCGCGGCCACAGTCAACGAGCATGCCCAATGCGCTGCCAGCAAAGCGGAGAATGTAAGTGGAAGAAATTAGTAAACAAAAATGTATTCATGCTTTTCCATTACGCCTGCAGCCACTGGGAGGAGTTCTTGAAGATACCCGGCAATGCACTATGTTGTGACTGTCACAGCCAGGATCCGCGCTGGGCCTCCATCAATCTGGGCATAACGCTGTGCATCGAGTGCTCTGGTGTCCATCGCAGCCTCGGCGTCCACTACAGCAAGGTCCGCTCTCTGACTCTGGATGCCTGGGAGACGGAGAATGTCAAGGTCATGATGGAGCTCGGCAACGAGGTGGTTAATCGTATTTATGAGGCGCGAGTGGGCGATGACTGTGAACTCAAGCGTCCCACAGAGCAGTGTGAGATTGGAGTGCGCGAGGCTTGGATAAAGGCAAAGTATGTGGAGCGACGGTTTGTGTGCGCCATGCCCAAGCCACAGGAGCTGCTGGCCAGTGAAACTGCCGAGGTGCTGAGCATAGACAGCGGCGGTGTGGCGGACGAAGGTGGCAGCGGTGGTGGCAGCAACATTCTTGGCAAACATGCCACGCTACCGTTGGGCGGAACTCGAAAGTGGGCTGTCAAGAAGCTGCGCAGGAGGCGGCAGCAGCGTTCTCTGCCAAAAACATTGAGCGACGATCCGAGCATCTATAACACGGCCAAAACTGGCGACGAGCTGGACGAAGATGATGATGATGAATCGATCAACATTCCATCAATGTCATTGAGCATCTCGCGCGACGATTTGTTGGTCATTGGGGATGACCTAGGCCTCGAAAGCTATGAGACGCCGTGTATCTTGGGCAGCGATCAGGAGAGCACCGAAGGAGAGTCCGATCCAGAGCTACCGGAGGAAGTGCCCTTCACACAGCTGGACGCGAATCAGTTGCTCTACAAGGCATCTGTTGTGCACAATCTTCCGGTAATGTGCATGGCCTTTGCTCTGGGCGCCGATAAGACATGGAAGAATCCCCAGGATCGTCAGCGCTCATTTCTACATCAGGCCGTGATCTCCGGCTCTGTGATGGCCTGCGAGTATCTGCTGCTGAATGGAGCAGCCATCGATGCGGTCGATGAGCTTGGCTACAGTGCCCTTCACATATCCACGGCCAAGGGGCACATCGCCCAGGTGTATCTGCTGTTGAAAAACAAGGCCGCCTACGACCTGGCCTCAAGTGACGGCAAAAAGGCACTGGACATAGCCGTGGATCAGAAGAATGCCGACATTGTGACACTGTAAGAACAACTGCACAACTGAACAACATACAATTGCAATTTTCAATATTTTACAGTCTTCGTCTGACGCGACTTAACGATGAGATTGGCCTGAACGACGAATACAATGGGGAGGATGAGACGTACAAGGATGTGATGAAGGACTTCTCGAACTTTGCCGCCAGTCAGCCGCGCATGCTGCGTCAGCGCAACGACTCAAACACACTGGAATCGCAGCGCAGCTCTCTGACCAACTCCGACTAGCAGAGGGCTAGTACGGGTGCTAGTACACCGACGCCGACGCGTCTAAAAAGTTGAAAACTTACTCGTTATTATGGATATTGTATGGATTACTTAGTTAGGGCGAATATTGGATTGTTATTGGCTTTATAGGGCGCATAACGCACTACGCATACCAACTGTTAAACGGTTTCGATGTCTTCTCAATTGTCAGCAACTCAATGGATGTCGTTTTCTGTAGGCAATCTCTCACTCGAATGTCGCTTCCAATTAAAAGTACGATTACACACTTTCACTGCATTTTGCAAACATATATCTAATATAAACATTTGATTTCTGTTCCGAAGCATTTCAAATCCGTTGTTAGCTTAAACTTAAACTTATACGTACGTATTTATAGAGTAAAATGATCATTAAAAATACATGTATTTGCCTATATCGTATTGTACATCATCTTATGTGGTATTTATTACACGATATTTTATATTGTAACTATACTAAATGTATGTACTATGTCTAGCTAGAAATTATGTATTGTATTGTGTGTCGTGTCATGATGTTTCTCGGTGTTACAGAGCTGTTTCAATGCTTGCATGTTATCAAAGCAATCCGATATATATGTTGATGATATTTGGTGCCAACTGTTGTGAGCATCCCCC